CGCTGTCTCATAATGAGATCAACACTAAGCCGGCGATATGACAGAGTATAAAGACCTAGTCTCCTACATCGGTCCTCCTACGACATACCCCCTAAAGTGGGGATGAGCCGTTCCAGTCTCTGCACCTCACCTATGGTGATCAGACAATAGGGGGGGTGAGCGATACTCAAGCACCGGTCTTATTGTGGAAGAGAACAGACCGTGGTAATCTCTTCAGATAAAGTGAGCCACTTGACTTGGATTATGCTGACGACATCGCCCTCATATGTGACAGCGCCCAAACGTGCCAAGCAGCACTGTACAGATAAGCTCTAGGTGTCAATTGTTTATGGCTCTGCTTTGCACCCTCGAAATGCAAGGTGCTTCTCCAAGATTGGCAGGGACCTATCGCTGCGTTGACCCTCGGTGGCGATCAGATGGAATTCGTTCAGGAATTCCGGTACTCGGGCAGCTATATTAGCGTACGTGGGATTGAAGATGAGGTCACAAACTATATAGTAAAAGCTCGAGGTGCTTTTGCCAATCTCCGCCACCCGTGGCGCCGGCGCGACATCACTCTCGCTCTGAAGGGCAGAGTTTACAATGCAGCCATCCGTTCAACCCTCCTGTGCGGTTCTGAAACCTGGCCCATCAGGTCGACAGACATAAAAAAACTTGGTACGTTCGTTCATCGCTGCCTTCGCACTGGCTCATATCTGGTGGGAGCACAGCGTGAGCAATGTACATGTTCGGCTTCGTCTATTTGATGCAGGAAGGGCAAGTGCATCGCTCATCATCATTATGTCACGCACCAGGCTCCGATTGCTGGGCCACGTGTTGCGCATACCAACCCATTGATCTCGCGAAACGCGTTGTTTGTGCGCTCGGGGTCTGGATGGAAGAGGAGAGGAGGCCAAGCATTGACTTGGTCGTGAGGAATGCAAACACACTTCTAAGCTAGCGTTGGTTGATGCCTCCCGTCTACCTGGTTAGGGTCCGAAGGACAATGGATGGGCTTGGTTGGACACACTCGTTGGCATGGCTGGGAGGCGACCTCAGTGGCGTTTGTGCTGTGAGTGTCTTAGTCCATCAACCTCTCCATTAGATTTCCACTCCAATCACGATCTCATTGCAAATTAATAATCTCATATTTAACCTTATACTCATTGTTTTCTTGAATTTTTGCAGTGTTATTTTTCGTATATCTTTTTTATATTGCGGCACCTTAGCAGAGGCGTTTTGCTCACCATCAGCTAATATGTATTGATAATAATAATAATAATAATGGGGATCACAGTTTCCGGGTACTGATCATGGGAGTTTGCTGACTGTGTTCACATCCTTCCCATTTGGTAGCTGGTCATGGTAGTTGCAACGACCGTGCCGTTTTCCTTTGCCCTTGTTGATCGAGCCCTGTTACCCGTATGCATACCGCCTCTGCAGTAGCGAGCAGCCTCGCTCTTGAGCCATAGCTGTGCGTTACTAGTATCTTTTGTAGAAAATATGAACTCAGTTAACTAGGTTCGATGAGTTATGTTGAGAAAGTGGTTTGTTATTACACTACAATTTGTCATGAAAAAGGCATTAGCTGCATGTCGGTACGCCGTACAGACGCTTCACTGCCACACAGCCACCACCATTCGCGTGTAGACTAATGACACTGCGAGAATCGCAGGGTCCCCTACGCGGACTCGAACTCGTGACCTCCGGATTACAAGGCAGGTTTGTGATCCTTAAGACCAATGCGGGAGGTGTCCCTGGATTCGCTTACTCTAGTACACGGTCGTACGTCCAGCTAACCTGGACCCACAGGGGCTGGTGAACTGGTGGTTTACCTATGGCGAGATGATCAGGCATCCGGTCTGAATGAAGACCAGTTAGTGGTTTTCTCTTAACTAACACATTTACGTGGTCCGCATTTATGCTCTTGCTGCAGCTTTGCATTAGTCTACGAGGCACTAACCTTCGAAGACGAATCCTCTCACTCATAAGCTGAACTCTCGCCATCATCTTTCGCTACTCCTAAACGAGTGAGCACTTGACATGAGTGGATTTTTTTAAAGCTTGGATTGCCTCCATAAATGGTACTCGCACAATCTATTGATTTACGTAAATTGTTTATGCACCACTCTGAGTATTCATCAAGACTGTAATGTGTGTGTCGCGTTTCACACACCTCTTCTCAAGTGAGCTTACATGTACACTCGACCCTATTTACTCTCGAATTATTCTTTATGAAACACTTGAGTGCACCTAGTCAGTGTGCTTATCGAGAAATGTTGGCACGGACAGGTGAGCCAACAGAAACCTGAATCGAACATTTTGTAAGGAGCGGAGGCTACGGTTGTTACAACTAACGTGTCTCTTTTAGTGGTGCGTCCAACTGGATGATTCACGTTGTACGCGCTGCAACATATAGTTATACTGTTCTTCACACCTTACCAATCCCTTCCAACGCTATCGACATCCTCCATCTGAATGCCGAGTGGGCTTATCATCACCGAATCTGTTGGTACAGCTGCGTGTTCCAGCTTCGTCGTCGGTATCTGCCATATGCGTCTCTTGCTTTCTGTCGTCCTCACATGTGACTCCGCTGTGTACAGACAGTGTTCATTGAGTGAACCATCCATGACTGTAGCGCTAGTCGATGCTCCCCAAATAGCTTCAAGGAATTTTTGTACACAAAATTGGTCTCACTATTTCTGCCCACTTCGTGGTGGCCTCCATACTTGCGGGTTCAGGGTCCTGTGCATTATCTGCTCTACTAGCTGCTTTTGTTTGTCTGCTTTATGTCCAGCTCCTTGTCCCTTTGTGTGTATGGTCAATTCCATACATTTTCCAAACTGGAAACACTGCCATCTCGCACCACATGCTTTGGATTGTCCGAACTATTTTTATCTACACTCTCAACATCCGTCGATTTACCGCGGACCCATTTTTGAACCCTCTCAATTCTCTTAGCTTAAGGAACCACCGGAGGGGGGAACGTGTTACTTCACCTCTGGTTTTGTCGGTGAAGCTTAGTTAGGCTTTGCACTCTCCGCTTTTATTGCCGGAATATCCTTAATCTAACATTGCCAGCTTTTGGATTCCTGCCACAGTTTAGTAATACCTTCCCATCAAAGTACTCCATGCTTATACATTTGGCACTGTGGAGGTATTAGTGATTCTATGCTAATGCTTGGTCCTCGGCATGCACTATCGGCTGAGGGGTGGAGTATATCTTAGTAAAAGATGCGGTCAACTCATAGATTACTTGGTCATCTACCAACTTTGTCCATATCCGCGTAGGGGTGCGCGTCCTCGCGATATACTCAGCCCACATTATTATTATTAACTTTGTCCATTTTTCTAGACTGTTATATTCTTTTAGGCAATGTTTTGCTATCCATAACTACCTTCATCACTTTTCTCGTCTGAACCACTTCCACAGTAGCATCTAGGCCGTCCATCACATTCATCCGGCTTATTCACGGGCAACTCGTGTTTAAATGCACTGTCATCCTCCTTTTTTGTGATTACTGTACCTCTTGTTGCACACGGGCACCGTACAGTCAAACGCTTGTTCGCACCGTAGCATCAGACGCACATTCTTTGCTTACACCGCACTCAATCTGATCCTGAGCGTAGCACGGGTGATGCTAATCTTCAGCAACCCAAATACGTCCATTTAATTACTATGAATCAAAACTACAAGCAAGTGCTGGGGAAGGATTCTTCTCTGGCAAATCTCATCGGACCAGATGCCCATTTGGCTTAGAGATTGATTTTTACGTTGTTCAGACAGCTGAACTTCGGAGGGGGCTACAGATGGTATGCGAAAGAACAAAGGGATAAACTGGGTGTATTAACTCACAACGATCCGAAGTAAATGGCTCCGATAGCAATCTATTGGCTGAGTATTACTGATTGTTGTCTACGATATCGATGTACGCCGTACGTATAGCTTCCGTATCTGATTTTGACTTCAGGTAGTAAATATATATGTCCTCAGCAATAGACAGGACCCGTTTACAAAAGCCTCACGAGAAACGTTCTGGCTAGGAGTAGATGTATTCGCAGTCCTTTCAGGGGTCGTATGGCTATAGTTAAGGAGGTGCTGTCTTTTGAAGCTTTTTGAAAACCCAATTTTGACTTTGTGAAACCACATTGGAGTGCACTTGTGAATGCCTGAAATAGACGGCTCGTATTGCGACTCACATATCTTGCCCACAAGAACACGAATACTTTGATCTGGTCAATAGGAGTAATCCGTCTGACGTGCGATTTTTTGTTGTAGTAAGCTGTTCTCGAGCGAGCGTCAAACTACCTCTCCTCAACAGCGTCGGGATTAGATGCCATTTTTAGAATCGCCTCTAAGTGTTAAATATATGTATGGCTTTTTTTGAAAGCACTGCTCTTAAATGGTTCTCATTCTTGCATAAAGATGCATAAAGATAAAAAAAATTTCCAGGTAACAAATTTCTATTGGAGCGTTACTGATTCACTACAGTTTTTCGTGACTGTACCAGGTGTGCAATTACTGCACTCTCTGAAGAAGAGAGATCGAACTACCATGGTACCATGTCTAGTAAGTTCTCTTACTAAATTGTTCGATTGTTCTCCGATCTATTTAATTTGCTTTATTGCAAGTCGGTGTGCCTGTTTTTCTTTTGTTCGTTTAGCACACCGTCTCCAGTCCGATTCGAGTTTTTAACCAATGCGAAACTCTCCATCTTCGGCCCAACTTGGGGCTTACAGCATGTATTTTGTCAGGAATAACTTCACGGTGGGCCTGTTTTTGTCTTCCCTCTTAAATAGACCGGGGTGATTTTTTAACCCCTGAATGCGATTTGTTTCCCCATAGCTTCTTTGTCTTCGAAGTGAAAATCTATTTCATTCGTACTCCTCGATCGATTTATCATGTCTGGGCTCCAGTTCCACCTGGTTTTAACCTAAATGTTGCTTTTTATGATGTATATCAATCACACTTCTTTCCAATAGAGGCATCACGTTTAACGCTCCGACACTCATCAATTTAGATTCAACCAGGATCCCTCGATTGATCTGATCCTTTTGACCACCACCGTCGGGGGCTTGGGACTGAACCTCACCGGTGCCGATACAGTGATTTTTGTGGAACACGATTGGAACCCGTGCAAGGACTTGCAGGTACGCGCTTTTTCACCTTTTGCTTTTCTTCCTATACCAAGTGGTCGGCAGAGTGTTTCTTATCTTTAGCTTCACACGGGGTTTCAACACTACCTGTACATAACGATTGGCCTCTTTTGGTCGATTAAATCAATGCTGAGGGTATCATATGAACCGCTTCACATCTCCACGCTGTCGGACAAATATTCATTCTCAACAGCTGCTTAACTATCACCCTTGGTATTGTGTTCACACGTTTATCAGCCGTGTTGAGGTGTGTGTAGGTTCGAAGCTCTTCGTAGGCAAGCTTGTCCTTGGTTGACCTTAGTCTGCGACGGGTGCCTATATCTGTGGTACAATTCCCAGGCGGATGTCAGCTACAGCCTAGGCGGCGCCGTCTTCGTTACGAGCGGCTTGCGATTTGGTCAACCCAGCGCAATTCATTCCGTTAGCCATGATCCGGATATCGGGTTTTGAGGACTTGTTGTTACCGTATTGGTGTACTTGACAACGGTTAGACGAAGAATACGACAAGTCGAGAGAATACTGATCTGGAAGTGATCGGATTCAAATTGTTAGTTAGCGGCAGTAGGGAGTGCCAACGTCGCTGTTCGCGCTCCATTACATTGCGCCCAACTGACATGGTCTACACCGGACCGGTGCGGAAGTATGTACTGCCCCAATCAAGCTCTTCAGTAGGTTACTTTGCTCTTGCACATAGAAATCGGATGTTTTCCGCTCGAAAACACTGCACTCCTATGACGCGTTTTGATGTTATTTGGTCTCACCAGATAGTGATAGCAAGCATTGAACTCGGGACCATTGGGATGTTAGTTTTGATCGCTACCCCTAAGTCACTGGGTCACGACAAACAACGCTTTGCAATGACATAATGCGGTCAGCCCATTGTCTAGTTCTGGGTTTCGTAGCACATGCCAAAAGGGTTGAACGTCCGGTCAATGCCTTTTCCATAGAATGTCATGCTTGTTGCCTCGTTGTGCTAGTCTTATCCGCAGTGGTCTGACACTTTATTCTCTTAGGATGTCGATATCCATATCCATTTTCTGGTAACTAGATGAGTGGAAAATAACTTGATAAACTAGAGATCTGTTCCCGAACATCTTGGATGCCCATCTATATCTTCATCAATAAGTGTGTGGTCGAACTCCCGAGTAGTAGTAGCACTAGACAGGTTACTTGCACGATCAGTGTTCACCCACAAGTATTTGTCGGCTTTTGTAGCAAGTCACTTTCACCGGTTGCGCATACATGTTCTGAGTCATCTGTTTTGTTAAACTGTGCCGAATTGATGTTGCCTTTCCAACGCTATCAGCATCAATACGATTCTTACAGGGCCATTCCGATTAAGTGGTGTTTCTGTGGTTGATCAACCGCCGGTAATCGATTTAAGTAATAGAAGCCCAATCTCCGGAATGGGAACGCGGTCATAGCGACAGTTTAGTGCTGGCTTGCGCATTTATTTCAATTTCTTTCTCTCGTTATTGTGCTACAGCTGAGATTCCAATGGAAATTCCGTTGCTTCTGTGCATACCTTCCCTAATCATTTGAATCATTTAACTGCTAGTTTGACGTACTTTCTACGGTCTCGACTTATCCTGTCAGACACGATTCTTAAATTTCTCATCCACATTGCTTGAATGTTAGGTATACAAACAAAGTGCAACTGTTTCCACACAAAACAGGCTCCTTTGAGCAACCCAGACCATTGTGTTTCAACATTGTGCCCAATCATATACATTACAGATACTTTTCTCACACTGCCTTGAAGTCCTTCTAAGCGTATCAAACGGCAAAATTGATGTGTTGAAAATATCACTGGGATCCAGTCGATGTTTCCCTTAACCGCATTTTTATCTTCAGTGTGACGATCTTGTAGGCTACCTCAAACAATCCGTAGGCCAAAGGTAACGAGCTCCTCTTTCTATCTGAGGACGCGGGTTGGAGCATGCGTATGGACAGGGCGACCCTCGCACTATCCTTAGTCCACGTGCAACCGGTGGTGGTTGTGCGGCAGCGAAGCGTCGTTACTGCGTACCGGCGCACTGCCGATGACTTTCTATTTCTTTAGGCTTCATCAAATATTGTCTTTTTTGTAGCGATTTACCTAGGCATGGATAGATTTTCATCTAAATGCATTGGTATAATACTTTATTTTCTTCATGGCGATATGCTACAATCTCTCATAGATATCACCCACACTATCTGTGAACGAAAATCCCATACCAAGTTCATCCAGTATCCAGGCATCTTTTTGTCCCAAAACCACTCTTGGTCCATGCATCTCTGTGAAATTTCGTAAAGTCATAATACATTCTTTTTACGCTCTTAGACTTAGGATACCTATATTACATCATACTTTGATATTTTGCTTTTCGACAGCATGCCTCTTTATCGTCCTTCTTGGACTATTACATAAACACCGCAACTTATTGGTGCGATCGACAGGGCACATTTCTCGATGCGGCGGCTTGTCTAGATTCTTTAGTTGATTTGACCAATTCTCAACAAAACGATTCTCGTCATAATTTTCTTCTTAAATACTGACTGATTTCGTCCACCTTTCAAAAGCGCTTTCTTTCTCTTCTAAGCCTTCAAAATTCGCAATTTTATGCTTTCTTGCTCTAAATATCACTCTTGCTTGTTGATTTAACAAAAGACATAAACATGCTGCACAAACCGTCGATGCAGTGGTAGTTGTGCTCGCCGGACGGCTTTTCCCGCTCTATTTGACAGGCCAGTTTGCATCGTTCGTTGCTTCATGGAGAGCAGTTTTTCCGTGTTTTGTCAAATTCAGTTTCTTTTACGATTCTGAATTTTGTTTTTGTGTATTACTTTCGTGTCCGTACATTTTACTCTGGTACTTTTATCGTGTACTTATCGTTCACTTTATCACCTTTACCGTCACATCTGCTAAGCTATCAGTAACGACAAAGCTGATTTCCTGTGGCACTTGTTGCAACATAGTTGGACATAGAACCAATGCTGTTACGTACCTCATGTGTGGTGTGAATTTCCACATTTCGTATGTTGGTTTTCTTTAGATTATTGTAAACTACTGCGTGAAATCCAGTGTGACTTTGTCCAAATATTGTGCAAGAAATACCAAGCCATCTTGCAGTCGCAAACAGCCGAGAAGCCGCGCGAGCCTACAAGACGGACGAAACGTTCCGTAGGGAGGAGCTCCGTGAGTTCATCCAAGCAAGTGCAAACCCAGCCACCTCTATGTTTGAACGAACCCACCTGCCCACCGGCTGCGGGCTCTCCAGCGCGATGTCCACCCGTTGCTCGAGACTCAGCTGGCATGCCTGTGTTGCGTTCTACGGACACTAACATACCGGTGTGCGATAGTGCAAGTGTTGAAGGCCACTGGAGAATGCAGCGAAGTAAAAAGGAGAAGACAACTGCCAGTACTCAGTGGCATTGTAACTTTATGATATTTCACGCGCCTGAGTCGACAGATGCTAGTCCTCAGGCACGTTATGACCACGACGTGGGTTTTCTGCAGAGCCTGATTGATAGACTTCTCGACGTGAATAAACAGGGGTTTCGGGTGAAGCAAAGCACCCGTCTTGGAAAGATAGAGGAGGGGGAATCCCGGCCCCTGCGAGTCACTTCTGTTGATGCAACTAGTCCGAGGCTGATACTATTCCGCCTCGGTAGGCTAATTGGTCTAAAAATCCATATTCGTCCCGATTTGGATTCGTCGGAGTTGAAGCGGCGGGCTGATAGTAGAGAAACCAATCTTCACATCGTACATTTTCGGGTAGTTTCCTGATATCGCCGAACCCGGCTCAACTGATCCATGACGCTTCATGCGCGTCCGTCGGTTCCTCCCGCAGCCTGTGCATAGCCTTCACAAATGTTTGTAGTTAATTGAACAAACGTGACAATGTATTGCACTTCGTTGCCTCACCTCATCCGGCCGTACTAGGAGTTCCGGAAACCTGGTTAAATCTCGAGGTCACTACCCAGGAAGTCCACATCAGTGGCTACTCGTGCTTCCGGTGCGACTGACTATCAAGCATGCTGTTATACATTCAGTCTTCACTGTGCGGGAGACTGGTACACACCTAGAGTAGCAAAGATGGTTTGTACGAACAGTTATGGGGCTCGATCCGCCTGAGACAGTGTAAACTGTTTGTGGGTGCGGCTTATCGCAGCCCGCGAAGTCGATGCCTTGATTGGTTGCCGCATGCCAAAAACTACATGTGTCGGCTCCGCTTCCTGCTTATGGGTGCTTTCAACTTCCCTCGAATACGGTGGCCTGAGGTTCAATTTCCCCCCGGGCATTGTGAAGTCGAGGCCCAGTTTGCGGAGATGGTATTTGAGACTGGGGCAGCACAACATGTCTGCCAACCGACGCGCGTTACACCGCATTCCGCTCCATCGTGCCTGGACCTACTACTAACGAGTTGCAAGCAACATGTACACGAAATTCAGGCCCTGGAGCCTCTTACAACTAGTGACGATTGTGTTAGCCAGCCTAGAGATGCCGCTGCCCTACTCGCGCCTGCCGGAGCCGTCCTACAATTATTGGAAAACCGACTTCAATGCTCTAAATCGAGCCGCCAATAAAGTAGACTGGTCACTACTGCAGGATTCATCAGTTAAAGCCTGTTGGTCTGTTATAAAAGAGGGTGTGCAATCCTTGTGTGCTCATCTCGTTCCCCTCAATTATCGGAAACCTGGACCATTGAAGCCACATTGGTTTGACTGAAAGTATAGTCAATTGACTTCATGGCGACGCGAATTGTGGGATAAATTCCTCGTCTCCGACTCTGCCGACGATTATGAAACGTACCAAAGGCAGCGGAATCTATGCAAAAGCGCGAAAGCGTCGGCAGTTCGAAGAGTAGCTTGTAACCTCAGCAAGCTGCCTACCAACACATCAGCGGTAGGGACTTGCCCACGCGAATAGTTTGGGTTTACGAGACTTTGAGATGGGGCTATGTTTCTGCTACTTACACTAAGACTGGCACATCGCAGTGATGCACATTTTC